TATATTTACACATATATACATATACATATGTAGTTTTATACATGCAAAAACGAAATGTAAATGCACAATGTGTATATATGAACATATATGTATTCATTCTATGTAGTATATCATTATATATATGTGTACGTGTGTATTTATGACTTTTATATTTTTAATGTTGTTACACAGAACTTGCATTTCCATTTAGCTGCTGTTATTTTGAGTTTCTGTTTGGACATTGTTTGCAGACATTGCATTACCGGCTGGATTGATATCACTTTTTCATTAGGGGGCTTTCCCTGTTTGATGACACAAAGTCAATAATTTATTGACCTTCATGTATTTTATTCATAAGTCTCACTGCGGAGATGGGATCATTAGGGAGACTTTTTTTTCCACTTTTGACTGACATTCAATGGAGGCAAATTACTGCGTCTAAATATTTGACGACCGCAGCAGCAGCATTTTGGAGTTAAACTATCCATATCTCCACTGCTGACGTGTTATTTTAAGCTAAAGCGCTTCATCAGAAACAATAAATCCATAAAAGTTTGTCATAAATCTAATCAGTTCTGTAAAGAATAAGCAGAATGTTGGACCCACGTGTACATACTTCATACCAGTGTTTGGCAGGACAGATTAGAAAGTACAGTGGGCCGTATCTGATGATCATTCAGTCAAGTGTATCTCCATCCAAATGTATTTTACTTTGAATTTCTCCATATGGACAGACATTCCAAGGACTTACTCTAAGTAATGTTTATTGCTGAACACGTTTAGCATGTTGATTACAACAGCAGGGAGACAATTAACCTTCTGTGACTCTGCGTCCTGAGACTGTATTTGTGTCTGAATAATTTGGTACACACCAGCTGCATCTTTTCTTGGTTCTGGATTTTCCCTTTCAGTGTTACCAAAGGTGTTTATTTAGATATGCAAAGACTAATAACAATTTACTTCTTCATCTAAAGAAGTTATGTGAAGTTTGTCAGTTCAGACTTCTAAACCTTGTCTCAATGCAGAGAGTCACCTGCCCTCTCTGTCTGCACGTCCATATGCATCTTTTTTTTTGCGAGATAAGAAATGACGCCGGTGACATTTTCTGTTGACTGACAGGATGCATGAAATTTGACTTGACGTGCGGCAGATGGATACTCAAAAATGACAAGTTTACACCCATGTTTTTGATCTGTAACAGCTGAAAGACAAAATGTGTTTTTGCATCAAATACTACTTATGAGGATGCAGCTTCATATCGATGATTAAACCAATCAACTTTACAATAAATAATCAAAAAATGTCCGCAGCTATCCTCACCTGAACTTGTCCTCACACAACCTCAGTGATGGCAATAAAAATGCTAAGCACAGCTTCAAAGAATGGAAAGGAAAATCTATGTACGTGCCACCAGAGCTTTATCACGCCGCCTTATGTGTGTCACTTTGTTTTATCAAATAAATTCACTGTGTTTCTTTTCCTCTTTTGGTAGGTATTGCTCGTAAACAATTGGTAATCAGCGTCGGTGGTGCGGAGGAGTGACTGAAGAATTACAACATTTTTGTGACGTATACTCTATTATCTTCTCACGGGCGTTGTGTGGCATTGCTTGGAAGAATAATTTACATAATAATCTATACATATGCATGAGTAGCTGTGGTGTGAATCACATTTTAACAACTTTTTATAGTACGACTAAAGTCACTGTTCTTGGAGACATACGTAAACCTGGCAGAGTGGCCCCAAATGGCCCTTTGTTCCTCTGTGCCTTAGACAAATACTGCTAATCTGTATTCATTTACAGTTGTTTTCCAATATTTTGCCGCCTCACTAATCTTCACCGCCTTTTTCTAACCCAGAATGTCTTCTCGGTCCATGACCTTGGCCTCGTGCCTGTGTCTAATCATCCTTTAGCTATGGATTAGCTTCACCCTCCTCATATCCCACATTCTCACAATTGATTCTGGTCATTTTATACCTGAACACAGTCATTAATCTAATTAGGCCAGGTCCAGTTCATTAGCCTGGCCCAGCTGTAATACAGGCAGATGCCTGCTGGGTCGTAAGGATTCATCACAGAGCCACTGAGGCCTGAAGAACACACAACATAGGACAGCGAGACACATGAGAACATCGAGAGAGAGGAGCAACGAGAGCCGTTTCAAGCTTTTAAGGTTACTGCATTTAAAGGTTACTACATTTAAAGGTTACTGCATTTAAAGGTGCACAGAACATCAATGAAAATTAGGTCTAAAAAGTTATTTTTTCCCAAGGAAACCTTGGTTAGAGCATATTGTAACTGAGATCAAAATTGTCACTTTCTCTGGTATTCAAATGTTTAGTCTCCCTCATATAAAAATATATTTATACTAGGCTGGTAATCTATGCATTAATGAGCCACAGCTCATGATCAATAACGTCCAACTGCCGCCCACCATCTTAAAAGCTGAGGGTGAGACGGTATTTACCTGAACATAAATGTTTTTATACGTCTGCCCTGCCATGGCAACATCTTCCAACTGCCTCTTCATCAGAAACCATATCCACCCAGGCTAAAAGCTCGGTGAAACCGCCCTTCAATCTTCCAATAGCGGACTCTGCAGATGGGATTACTATTGCAGGACAATGGCCGTAATGTAATTCAGTGCATCTGCACATGCTGCTGATTTTATTAAATGATGGGGACGACAACAGTGCTTCACTACTGCTAACAAGTACAAGGCTGTACCCTCCCTGCCAGGTTTTATAATGTCTGACACACAAAGTATTTGCCATGGAAAAGTACTTTAAGATAGTACTTTGATCACACTGAGAGACAGAAAAAACTTGAAAAGTAGTCAGTACTATACAGTTAAGAACAACATTTATATTTTTTATAAATATAGTCCTCAGGTAAGTGTACTTCTAATTAGGTTTTAATTGTTCGTTAATCTTCCATTATTTACTTCTTTTTTAGAGTCACAGGTGTATCTGAAGCCAATCACAGCAGCCATCAGTGATGGCGTGTCACCCTTGATGATACAGCACCACATCTACAAATAAACAACCAATCACTTGGATTTATACCGATCAATTCAGAGCAAACATTTAGCCTAGTCCTGCATGTCAAATACGCAGACTCTACGCAGTATTACTGGGAATCGAATCATAGAACCCAGAATTTCATTAATTTCACCAAGATAATCAAAATTCCAATTAGATTTGCTTCACATTATTGTCAAAAAGTTAGCGTACGTGGCTGAAGATTAAAAGTACTGCTGTTGAACTCATTGTCTCCCCTCTCACCTCGCCTCTCTCACAAACAGGCTTAACTCTCCTAGAGAAAATGAAGCTGTTAAACCTGCGAAGAGGGACACTTCAATGTCTTTGTCTTTGGATTTACAATGTGATGCCATACAGTAAATGCTGATCCGTTAGGTTGTGCCTCCGTAGTGCAGGTGGGTTCTCCTGAGTGCAGATGCATGTGAAGTCAACGGAATGGAAGAAAGGGCAAAAGGATGAAGTGTCACAGAGGAGGAGAATAGAGACGACGAGAGAAATGGTGCGTGGACCGGTTGGAACAAGACCAAAGGCCAATCAGGCTTGACTCTATTACAGGAAGGATTTTCTTTGTTTCTCAACAAAGGCTGTCAAACGATTAACATTTTTACTCTGATAAATAACAATGTAGCTGTGGATTAATCACGATTACTCATGATTAATACCGGGATCCAAACAGGATGAACTCTTGTTCATCAGAGCATCAACACAGCCATTGCATTAGTGAAGTAAGAGTAGAGGCAAACCATGACTTAGCCCGTGGCACCTGTGCACGCACGCACGCACACACACATACCTTTGCGTTAAAAATAGTTAATAGCACCTCCAAGGAGGAAACATACCATGTGATCATGCTGATGCAAGCACCTTGAAACCACTGCAACACCCCCCCCAGTGGTGGGGCAAAAATTGTACTTGCAAAATTGTAATATTTCATATTTTAGTTTCCAGATTAGTGTTGTTCAAGTGCAACAGTAACTAATGTAATTTATTTTTTAATTAACATTTAATCAACTATTCTTGAAGGAGGGTTTATATTTTAAGGTACCTTTATGGCTGTGGAAACTATGAAACCCTTCAGATAACGTAGTGTATGTATTATTAGAACGTACCTTCTACCATGTCTACTCTTTATGCATGTCTTTGGCCTCGAGTTCAGTTTGCATTCAGGGCTGTGTTAGGCAACTTAATATTAATGCCATTCAGTTCTAATCCCAAATATCTTGATTAACATGATAGGAGATAATGTGTGTCGTTACGACTCTAACAAAAACACTCCTGAACCATTTGTTGTGTCTGCACTGATTTGACGTTTGACATTCAAGGTCTTTTCCGGCCGGCCGCGGTTGCCCACTAATCTTTTTCAGCAAGGTCGAGCAAAAGAAAAAGGGGGCAGAGGTGGGACGCGTCGGGCAAAGACACATCCTCCAAACATAATGAGGGTTCGTTAGGTCGTCTCTGAGCCTGGTGTCGTCTCTCCTGTCAGAACTTAGATTGTTGCTTTGATAACCGCTCGGTGAATGAAGTATCAAAGTATTATGTTATCTATTGCGAAACAAAACCGTCAGAGAGCGAAACAGTCGGAGCAGCACAACAATAAGACAGCAGCAATATTGGAGCTGAATGCAAATATGAAACCATAGGCCTTATAAACCTTTTGTTTTGCCTCTGATGCTTTTGGTGTGAACATAGCATTAGCATCTGTATGTGACAAAGGACCATATATGTGCTTTGCAGCATGATAGTTTTCTCATGCACGACTGCACAGGAGTTTGGATTGGCAACCTTATTACCTTTTCACCCTCGCTTCCTCTCACTGTCTGTGTGTCAGTTGTTTTTTACCTTCTGTCAGTGTGGTAATAGTATCCTCCAGGTGAGATGAAAAATGTGGATGTGACTTCTACAGCTCTGTTGGACATCAGCACCTCATCACGGAGTGGTCTCGCCTGGTCGAGCGAGAGAATCAAATCCTGAGGAGGAAGACCAAAACGATTTCAGCAGTGAGATTACAGACCGTGGCTCAGACCAGAGTCAATGAGGGAAAGTTCTTTGATTTAATTCAACTCAAACAGAGGTGTCAATGGGAACAGTGTGTGCTAAGTTAGCTTCTTTTTTCATTCATACATTCTACTCTTACAGTGTTACAGTGCAGTGTTAATTTCGTCAACTACTCTAAGACCAGAGATTCCACACATACATAAAAGTAAAAGCTATGTCATGTTATTCAGATTCCATCCAGCAGGGTCACCAAATCTGTCTTCTGTCTTCCATTGCATCGACTGGAGCTCAATAAAGATGCTCCTAATTTCCACCAGTGCATGACACATGGTTTGTTGTGCGTGGAGGACAGAAGGTGGGGTCACACTGACACTGTCCAGTTGGCTCAGTAAACTGCAGTGCCTCTCTGTGGATCTGACCTTTTGCTGATTGGGGATGAAGTGTTAGTGAGTGCTGCAGGTTTCTGGCCTTTGAAGGAAATACAAACTACCCTTTTCAACTCGGTACACCACTGGACCAATAAACAGCAACTACCTACAACAACTGGACTCTACTGCTGCTTCAATGTGTGTTTACCCCAGCCCACCCCACCCCACCCCACCCTTCTCACCTCCTGTTTCCCTCTGGCCTTGCGACACAGGATATCATCCGACCGCACTTCCTGTGAGACCAACGGGTGCTAAAAAAGAAACGAAAACAATTAGTAGTACTGATGGGCTGGTGTGAGGTAATGAAATTGCATGTCTCATTGTAGCGTGTAATGGAGAGCAGTTTGAAGTTAATTGAGGGGACATAGGACACTGTGCCTCTGCTGCCTGCCGTATTGTAGTCGGGTGCTGGGTTTATCTGAGAGACGTTCACTGAACCTGGACAGAAATATCCTCCGTCAGTCCCAGGAAAATGACAATTATCCTGGATTAATGGATGCAGAGAGAGATGACTTGTTATTGTAATTACATCCATATCTTATCATTTATTTCTGAATCACAAACCTTAAATTTGTGGCAGAGGCCAAAGTATTTTTTTTTTTATTTTTTACAGCTGATCCAAGTTTAACTAGAATTTAATTTCAAATTATTCTACCATGAGTGTAGTCTTTAAGGTGAACCTCATAATGTGGTCTGGCTGGTGTAAACCTTCGTTATTCTCAGTCATGAGACAGGTGGTTTTAAGAAGGAGATAGAGTGCCACCTTCTGGGGAATGATATGTTCTCCTCATAAATTGCAACTACAACACAGGAGTTGATATGTTCTCCCTGTGTGTGTGTGTGTGTGTGTGTGTTTTCCCCAGGTGACCTGACTTCTTCCCTCAGTCCAAAAACATTAAGCGGACACTATTTAACCTAAACCTGGTTTAGTGTCAGCATCACCACTGAAAACAAGCGAGTGCTTACTGAGAATAAATGCTGTTTTAAAAAAATAGTCACGACACATGAGAAAAACATTTTTAGTTTGATGCTTAAAATATTTTGATTAGAATTTTATGATTTTTTTAGTTTAGAAAATGTTCATTATTAAATTTTTCTGTCACCAAATTTAATTCTTAATCTTTCAACATAACCTTAAGTGTTAGTTGGCTGAGCCTTGTTGAAGATATCACTTTTTGTGGCTAAGACAAACATTTGTGCACCAAGACATTTCTGAACAAGGCTGATGAGATTAAAGTTAATAAGAAAAATAATTTAATTCCCAACATTCTGACAACCCAGTATCATTTTTCAAACCTTCAGGCAACAAAACATATCGTTTTTAAAACATTCATTTCAGCATGTTTTTTGTGCTAAACTAAACTAAATTAAAAAAACATCCAGATGAATGACAACCACTGAACTAGCCTGGAGTTCAAGTAGAACAAACTCTGACAGAACACACTAGAACAAATGAAGGTGGAAAATTTCATTTAATTTCCTCCATCATCTAAAACCTAATTAGTTCTCCCTCCACTCTGCTTCAACCACTCAAAAAAACATGAATGTATTATGTAGATATTTGTGATTGAGCTACCAGACAGAGAGAAAATCCACCTGCTGGATGAACTTACGAAAAGCACCTGTATCGTCTGCTGACGACAGACAATTAAACGCAGCATGCCTACAGTATTGATCATGTCTCCCTGACAGACAGAGCAGAACCACAGCACCTGTATTCATTAAACAACCGGTTGAAGAAGCATGTGGCAGGAGCAGAAGTCAGGCTGTTTGTGAAACAAAGTGTCACAGGTGAAGAAACACTTGAATGAATGAAGAGGGAACTTCTCACTAGAACTTTAGGGGAGAAAGTAGCACAGAAGGAGAGAAGGGGGGAAATGACAAGAACAACATGCCCTTGGCTTTGGGAGAAAATGAATGAAGGATTCCAGAGTTCAACAGAGGGAAAGTCTCAGGAAAATGAACAAATATAAAGGTAGATGTGTTTGGTAATAAATTAAGACGGAGGTTATTTATTGTCCCCCTGTTGAGACCAAGGGTATAATGTGAACAAGTCTGACTTTATAGTGAAGTGAAGAAATGCTTTGGTGCGTTCAAAGACTCCATGAATATTCAGCAGATGGGGCAAATTGAGGTTCAATTTACTCTGATTGATTTGTTTTATTTTGGAGGAATTAGGGGTTTCGCTCTAACCCACTTCACCGCATTTGCATTCCACTCAGAGACTGCACTCACTGCTTTGTTTCACCTTTAAGCTGTGACTCTTTTCTTAAAAACCTCACTCAGAACAGTTCATGTTGCGGCAGACACACCATTAATGGCAGCCCCTGTAAAAACACATCCAAAAACAGTCAGCTGGTTTGAAAGGTTCCCTCTTAAAATAAAAACATTAGTAGATACTTACGTATCGGTTTAATTTACTATTATAATCTGCGACGTGGTACGTGCACACTAAGTTCTCTGTAGTATTATGTTCTATAAATCAGGGGTCTTCAATCCCCGGTCCATGGACCAGTACTGGGCTGCAGTGAAATAATCAATAAATTATTTACGTCATTTAAAAAGAATAATTTTCATTTAATTTCTTAATTTTTCAAATTAATGTCTGAAGAAAATTATACTAACAGGTTAAAGTCTAAAAGATGTTTTTGAGATGATTTTGAAAATGTACTGATCCTTGACATTAATCCTTTAACCATCAGGACGACACTACTGGTCTGTGACACCGACAGCAGCCGCTATAAAACATCAAAGCTGAGAAAAGTCAAAAACAGAAACCCAAAGATGCAGAAAATGATACTTCATACAGATTAGAAGCATCAAATCACAGACACCAGATGAGACCTGTAGAAATCATACGTATCCTGTTAGCTGACTCACTTACTCAACATTGTCCATCTTTGTTAACCGTACACTGAATCGCCAGACATCAAAGAGAAACCATCTTCATCGCCGACTTCCTTCAATCCTCATGTCTCAGAAGTTTACAAAAAGAAGCTGAAAAAAAAAAGACTGAGGACTAAAGACATGAGCCAGAGTGTGAGTGTCTGCCCTGTCTCACCTAATGCTATCTGTCAACCCCGACCTTGACCTGTTGCTACAGCTGCAGCTATGCAAACCCTCCAGGGAGAACTGACTGAAAGGACGCAAGTAAAGTGTGAAGAAGGTGGAGAAGTTGTTGGGTTTTTTTTTACGCCATTGGGTGACCTAATCATGATGAGTGTGCTGCACAGTGGATTGATTTTCTTTTTTTAGACGAGGTGAACTTGGTATTAGACTGAACCCTGACAGAATGTTCCACAAACTGATGGGAGAAAAGAACAGACTTCCTACTTCATACACTGTGTAAAATTGTTATATTTAGATCAATCTTGACAGCACTAGTTTTAATCAAGATGTAAATGAGTACAAGTTACATTTATAGTGAGTTGGATACTTGGCCTAACAGAAACTCAGTCTTAGAGAAAACGGAGAAAAGATAATGAGGAGCATCTCCCATCAATGACAAGCAGACATAAGGTCAGGCTGTTTGTTGAATTGTTTTTCCACTCACTACATTCTTAGAGTCTTAGTACAAGTCAAATGGTGGATAATAGCACAGAATGACAATTTAATTTTGTCATAACACATCATGACTTTGATCTCCTTATACTTACTTATTAACGGCACTAATTGTCATTACCTAATCAATATCACTGTTGTTATCAACAGTTCAATTTTCAGGAAGTTTCCATATTTAGTCACCACTGTACCTGAACTGAAACCATGAACTGTAACCATGTACTCACCATGTTTTTAGGACAGGTTGTCCTAAAAACATGGTGACTACATGGTTTCTTCCTGTACTTCCTTTACTTATTAGGAATTTCTATTTTTAACAGCAACACAAAATTAAGAGATGATCCAAACAGTAAACACAGGCATGCTAAAGGTTAGTCATGGACCACTGCCCCTGCTGAAGCTCTGCTCTTGTTCTCAACCCTGTAGTGTAAGTCTGACGCAGGAGGTGAGTGAGGACAGGGATGATTTAATACATTTATTGGAGTATAATTCAGCAGCAGTTTATGATAGCATCTCATTTTACCTAATAATTAACATAATCGTACAGTGTATCAAAGGCACTTCTATGAAGCGTATCTCAGCGGGGTCAATGAGGCTGTCAGAGCTACAACTGTATATGGTGGCAATAAGATGCTAATTATTTTATTATCTAAGCAGCATTCAGATTGCTATCTCGTTAGAAGTCAGACCTGGGACCAAACTCATTGTATGTCCATGAGTCAAGCAAAGGTCAATGACAAGGTCAGACTTGACTGATGTGATGCAATTAAAAACACAAACACCTCAATCTAAATCAAAATACATTATATAAAGTACATGTAATGAAATAAATGATGTTCTAGTTTCAATCTACCTACGGTTTACTCACCCCAGCCAGTTTAGTTGACCACAATGCTGATATACTCTCAGGAATTGAAGAAAGACGCACACAAAGACCTTCTTAAACAGTGTCTTTCTTTTTTAAGGTTTATAACCATCTTCTGCCACCTAGAGGAACAAACAAAGACCAATTGTAAAGGTTTGTGACTTCAAATACTGCTGTGCTAAACCACATTTATGTACAATTTGTAAACATTTGGAAATGAATAATTTGACATGTTTGCGCTCAACCAAAATATTATAAATATACAACTTGGTCATAAATATTCATCTAATAACACAATTTCTCTCCATTACTTGTGCAGCTTCATTCCAAGCAATGAACAATGAGTAACTGAGTGAGATAAACATTAACTTAATGTTGACCACATTTAATTCCATGCTTTGCAAGGTGCTGCCCAAAAGTTTAAACCTTCCTCTTTGAGTAGTCACTGTGGAGCCATGAATCTGCTGTATCTGATGTTAAACACTCTCAAATGTTCAGTGTTTACACATCACGACAACCAGGTTTATAGGTAACTTGCTTCCTGTACTGTTAAACACACACTTTTGTGAAATCTTTGGAGGGGGGTACATATTTTTTATGAATTTCCTGTACATGTATGGTTTCCTCTTCCTCAATTAGTGCATGTGAATGTACAGACATCTTTGTGGCTGTTGCTGTTCCTAACAAAGAACCCTTTCGGGGCCGGATCGTTATGTAATAGTTTCATATTTGCTTAAGGCCAAGTTAACTCCAACAAACAGATTCAGGAATGTGAGTAGCTAATACCTCACCTCAAAAGGTGTTTTTTTGTCTGTCCTCTTGCTGCCTGTTTTCACAGTGTGTCCAGTTGTCACCCGGCTGTTTTTCCCACTGTAACACGGCAGAAGTTACAGCAGGGCAGTTGTGTTAGTGCACAATATAAGCACATCAAGATATAAGTGCTATTACTTTTTGTTGATCATTAAAGACTGTAAGGCAATGGAACATGTGACGTTGTCCTTCTACTGCATGCTCCATTAACAAGGTTTTTCCACCTCCTCTATAAACACATAGCTGGTATGATGCTGAAGATAATATACTTCTCTATGAATTTGTAAAATTTCTGCATACTTTATTTTTTTCATATCAAAATGAAGATAAAAGTACTAAATTCAAATATATCATGTTGAAGAAGTCGTCCTTTTGCTTTAAACTATGGATTATTTAGGTAAAAATATAACAAAAACAAACTTATCACTGACAGCTCTGTTTGCAGCTGCTACATTGGAGTATTCTTAATCAAAAGAAACAGTTTAAACCCTGTGCTGTTTCATTGTCCTGCACTTGTCTTTCTCCACCCACTGCTGAGTTACCTTGGTCAGGTGGGGTGAGGAGGTGGAGGTGTATAAAAACTTACAGTCACTGTTTTTCAGCTCAGAGACAGGAGAAGGAGAAGCAGCAGATGATCAGTTGGAAGGCTGAGGGTTACAGAGCCGACGATGCCTCGCAGCCAACACACAAGTCTGCTGGTGGCAGTGGTTGTACTTTTCCTCTCTGACACAGACACCCAGTGCAGGTGGGTCCTTTAAATTGCAAATGATTCATATATGTGATTGTATTTGACACAACGACACGCACTAAAGTCTGTTGGTGTGTTTTTTTTGTTGTTGTTTTTTTTAAGAGCTGAACATGGATTGTCCTCAGTTTCTTTACCAGAGTTGAGGCCAAACTCAGGTGTTTGTACAGTAATTATTTTAAAAACCACATTTGTGACAATATATTTTTTGCACGTGCAGATCATCAAATGTGAAAAATGTATGAAATTAAAAAATAACTTCAGCCCTTTATGCCGTGTCTAGACTATGTTACACACTGTTTCTTCAATCAGCAAAGTGGCCCAGTGTGTGACTGGACGAGGAGCCAACAAGGAGAAGGTAAAGTACTGAACCTAATACTTATATCAATTGAATGTAATGTAAAAACTGAGAGCTAAAAATAGAGGTCCAAATGTAATTTGATATCATTTAACTTATTTGACTCCTGAGATGAAAGAAAGTTGGTCTTCAGTTCCTGTTTTACAGTGCAGTCAGACAATGACCGTGGCTGTTCTTTCCTTTCTCTCAATAACTGAGCTTATTTTCCAAGGTGCATTTATAAATAACAATAAAAAACAGTATCTCAGCTCTATAACACATACCTTTGTAACTGCACATTGCAGTAAATATTTTAGAAAGTGCTCCACTGGGGCTTGAGGGAGATGCCTGTCTGGAGTTTTGGTACCTGGTTCCTACTGGACTTCATGGGTCTGAGCTACGAGCTAACCTCAAAAGCGGCGCTGGTCTGACAGAAGTCTGGAACTCTCCTGCTCCTCCGAGAAACCAATGGCGACAAGCGCT